ATAAGACAGGGGCCCGGGGTGGGGGGGGGGGGGGGGGGGGGGGGGGGGGGGGGGTAGGGGTGATACTCCCTTATATCAGAGCCATATAGGTATGTGCGGCCCCAAAGGGAAGGGTTTTTGCGCCGTTTTGATCTGAACTTGGGTATAGACTTTGCCCATTTTGGTCTGGAATCATGGTTTTCGAGGGAACTACGAGAGTGTATGAACGTATAAATTCCAAATGAGTAAGAAATTAAGTGAATTACCGTAAATTACCGTTTATTCTATAGCTTGTAAACATTTTTAGGATATTGTATATTGCATATTTAGCCTGATTGTTTTTTACCTTGTATAAATAAAAGTGATGATGATGATGATGATGATGAAATATGAAAACGGGTGTGAAAAGTAAGGGATTTCTTGGCCTGAGGGGGTGGGGTGGGGTGGGGGTATGGGGGTGGGAACGATCCATGTGCGGGATCCGAAACCATTAGGCTGCATTAATTATGTATACCACAGGCGGGGAGGGGAGACGCGGAGGAGTTTCGGGGGGTCTTAAAAGTTTTTGAAGGGAAAAGGGCAGATGGTACTGAAAAGTTTCTGAAGACAGGAAGAGGGATTGCCAATTTTTTTAGATGTCATTGAAAGATTATGTATTTGCAAGAGCCATCTTGGTATTTGTAACCTATTGATAAACTATTACACAAGTACCAAATTTTAAAATTAAAACAGTAAACTGATCCTTACAGCAGGAAGAGTGATGGAAAAAATAAATAAAGAAAACAAAAATAAAGTGGTGAATTATATTTGCCCGATATTTTGGTTTGTAACACAAACCTTCAACTGGGGCTATAAAGCCGCTCAGTTGCGACTCGTTGTCGCCGCTTCACAGCTTGCTCTCTCTTTCGCTCTCCCTTCCCCCCACCCTCCTACAGAAGGCTGTCCTATTGAGTTTTTTTCTTGTCGGAACCATTGAAGATTGCATCTGAGAAATCCAAAAGTTGTTAGCCTCTTGCAGGCGTTCAGATCGTGGGGAACACGCCGTACTCCACTACCCGAAGGCCGGCAATAGGCTAAATTGTTGTCGGCGACGTATAAAAAAAAAAGACAGAGGCCCCTTTTTTATTGCTTATTGGGGATGGGGGAAGGGGAGGGGGGAAACTGAATGTCCAATTTTATTTTCAGCCCCCACCCCCCTCCCCCACCCCCCACACCCTCCACTTTCTTATTTCGCTCCGCCGCTGCTGGGTTGGCTGAATTGAGTTCCCTTTTCTTCTTCTGCTTATTTCAGATCAGGCCATTCAATAACTTTTAGCATCAGTTGTATAACTTTTTATCCGCCTTTTTGTTGGCTTTTTCTTTGTCTGTTCACCTTTGCATGTTCTTTGCTAGTCTAGGTCCCAAGTTTAACCTGTCTAGAGATGATTGCATTTTATTATTGAACCGCCAAGCTACCATGCCGCCATGGCTCCAGTATGCAATTCCTTACTGAAGCATAATCTCTTAGAACTTTCGTTAATTTACACTTGACACTGGAAATAGCCCACGTTCGATATATTTCAATTTTATCATGACTCCGAGACTTTAGGGTCAAAAGTGCAAATTTTTCAAGACCCTATGATTGTCTCGCAATTCCCAGAAGGTACTTGAGCCTAAAGAAAACCAAACCAAGTATAGAAAAATGACCAGAAAGCCTCGGAGTCATGTTAGAATTTTAAAATATATCGAACGTGGGCTATTGCCCCCATTCGAAATTCGGCAGTAGTAATCGGAAAAAAAATCGTACAATTTCGGCATTCGTTGCCCTTTCGAATCGTCGAAGTTCTGTGAACTTGTACCCAGGTGTTCTCGTCCACTACCGGCGCCTCGATATCATGTTAAATATGGCCGCCGCTTGAAGTCGAAGGAATCGAAGTTGAACGTTTTTTCTTTATTTTGATCAACATGCCTGCTATCGGAGTTATTTATCCTCCTCCGGAGGTGAGAAGTATCTTTGATAGTTGTTTTATATGATATTGATTGTAATTGTTAGTCTCTTCGTCTTTGTCCATACATCACATTGGTCTTTGCTTTATTCAATTCACTGGTGCTTGCAAATGAACCTGCATATTTCTTCACTTCTAACGTAGCTGTTGATTCCTGTGTAGCAGCTGTGTGTTGATCTAGAATTCTACATTGCACTTATACGAAGTTAGGCGATGCCAAAGGTTCAATAGTAGGATGGGATAAGAGGCAAATTCGCTAGAAAACAGGCTAAAGCGAATCCTAGTTCTCGATGTACTCGTATGCATATAAGCGTTATTGTGCGCTTCTTACGAGTAACGTACGTACGCATGAGGCGCTGGTCGAGATTGAACGTGTTCTGAAATTGATTCCGCTTCTCATTACATAAGCAGAGTCGAAACAAACTGTCTCTCCGTAGACTCCGAGAGAAATTCCACAGAATGTTGAATTTACATCCTCAGGCAAGTTGAGAGCGATTCCTTTTCCTTGGTAGGTGGAAAAGTTTCAATTTATAAACATTTTGAGTCCTTAACAATATAATCAGATATTGTTGACAAGACTGCAAGCTTTGTTGCAAGAAATGGTAAGTATCCTTTGCTGGGTATATCCATAGTGATACTTCTAACCAATTGAGAAACTATTTAGTTTTTTTACTGGTGTTATTATAGGGGTGGATGGCACATGTGCTTACACTGTATAAGACATTGAGTGACTCCTGTTGTAATGTCATATTCTCCATTATTTACAAGCAGTTACAGAGATGAGGCTATGTATATTGTGAAGTGTTATGCAGATCAAACAAGGGTGTTATCCACCTTGGCTTTCAGTCTCATGATAACAGCCTTTGCAATTCAGCTTAACCACACCAAATCTAAAACATCTTAAGCTGTTTTGTTAAACATTAGACACGGTTTAAAATTGTTTCCTTCATAAAAGCTGATTACTGACTTAAGTTAATTGTGAACGTAGTGCAAATTACAAAACATGTTGAATTTCAATTAAATCCTGTGTAAAAACCTATGTTCCAGTTTACCGTGTATATTCAGTGATTTTGTTACAAATAGTTATGGTGAGTCCTGGGACTCAATGTAAAAAATAGTGAGTCCAAGTCCCGAACCAATGAGTCCCAGTTAAAATAACAAAAAAGAGTCCGAAATTGAAAATGCTTGGGCCTTTATGTAACCGGACAATTAACCTGAAGACAGATGCCAAAACTCTGCATATTTACAGTATACAAAAATTAAAGTATAGTCCTTCTATTTAAAAGCAAAACAAAGTCTACAAGAAATATGTACCGTTAGACAACAGCCATAATAACTGCCACAGCAATTACACGAACGGGCCGGATATTTTTACAATTTATTGATACATACAGGTCTGTTTGTTCCGATCAATTGATCGCTCGATCAATCTTTGTGTCCTACGGGATGCATGCCATGAGTTATTCTGTGTCTTTGGGGATTTTTATACGTCAAGGACGCAGGATGCAGAGGATCCAAAATCACTGTATACTTTACATTTTTTTAACATCTGGTGTGATGAAATATGATGTCAAAGCAGCTAGGGTGCCATGCTTCTGGCTTCGTATAAGTGGGATATTTTTTACTCTAATCTTCAAACAAGAAAGAATAATAAGCGTACACAACTGTACAAATTAAAAAGTTACTGAAGTATCCAACACCTGTCTTCTAAACAGATAACTTGTTTTATGTTTTTAATTCCTATTATTAGTGCTGCAGAATTTTGATAAAGAATAAAGTGTTATTTTCTTTGTACAAACTGCATCTTGAAAATGATTATTATTATTTTTTAGTAATTGAAACTATTGTAATAATGACAATGTTATTAGAACACAATCTTGTGCTTGTGCCTTTAGGTCCAGAATTTGAATCAAGAATCAGGCAAAATGAAATTAATAATCCAAAGTTTAACTTCCTAAATCCTGGAGATCCCTACCATGCATACTTCCAGCAAAAAGTNAATGATTATTATTATTTTTTAGTAATTGAAACTATTGTAATAATGACAATGTTATTAGAACACAATCTTGTGCTTGTGCCTTTAGGTCCAGAATTTGAATCAAGAATCAGGCAAAATGAAATTAATAATCCAAAGTTTAACTTCCTAAATCCTGGAGATCCCTACCATGCATACTTCCAGCAAAAAGTTGCTGATATAAAAGAACAGGATGGGAAAGGTGAGACCAACATAAATTTTACATTATAGTGTTGCACTATCCTTGCTTTGTCTTGTGACATTCACCATAATAATTATTAATTTTTGTTTATACTGTTAAATGATGTACACAGCATAGTGTACATGTATTTATCAGTTCTAGCCTGGACAGTTCCGTGTACTTTTGGTTAGCAAGATAAGATGTATCTATATTATTAAAATATGTAAAAGTGCTATCATGTTAATATATATTTAGGTGTTCTGGACTACATCTTACAGCTGTACAGGTACAAGTAATGTTCTGATGGTACTGCTGCAATATTATATTAAGAAATTCAAAATAAGTTGTGAACTTCCTTTAGTTGATACAGTGTACATGACATGTGGTTTTAAACAGATATTACATGTTAATGTGGTCAGGTTTGAAACTTCCTGTTCACACTGTTTTATCACTCCAGCTGTAGGACTTGATCAGAAAATCAAATACCCATTAAGTTTCTAAGTTTTCTTTTTTTCCAAGATCCATACAGGAATGGAACAGGCTGCCAAGACAAACAGCATTGGCAAAATCCCTTAAATCTTTTATGAAAGCTGTACATGTATTAAAAAGATTCATTGTTATATAGCTGGAAGTTTTTCCCAACAGCGTATGCTCTCATTGGTTACTTTGAGGTCACATGACATCTAACAATGAGACTTTTTCCTGTTAAAATCTCTGAGCAGGCAACATTGCAAAATCTGTGATGTCAGAGGGTAACAGTGCAATGTAGCTAACAAATGTTGACTGTCAACGGCCATTACAGCAAGGTTTACAGCTTCAAAATTTCCAACTATATAACATTAATCACTTATAAACTGGTCTCTCAGGAAACAGCTTATTTGTTTTCCCTGGAATCCCAAATACCAAAGATTGGTATTCAAGTTGACGGGTAAATACAACAAGTTGGTGGGGAATCAAACAGCAGAATCAAACAGGGATTTCTTTTGGTTCTATTTTTGGTTTATTTTTCTAGGGAAGTAGCTGGGGGCCTCGTTCATAGTAGCCAGGGGAAATTCCCGGCCCCTGGCTCTTAGTGACAGCCATTATCAGCGTGCAAAGAAAGTAGTGTCCGATAGCTCGGGGCTAGTGGATTTTGCTAACGGGCTAGTGAATTCTGTATTAACTTGCCCGATGGGCAAGTGATGTTTTATGAGGAATTTGAATAATAGAAGAACAAAAAGTTTTTGGGGCTAGTTGAAATGATGTCTGGGCTAGTAAATGCTAGCTTCAGCTTGCCCGAATGGCAAGCTGTAAAAATGATTTTCTTTGCACCCTGCATTATGGTAAATAAATAAATAAAATTAATAAATAAAGAAGTATTCTTTTGTGGTCCAGATAATTAATTTAAGACAATGTATATTTTTGATTTGTTTTCAGCTCAAGAGCTTATTCCAACAGCTCCAGCTCCTCAAAAGGTGAGGATTTACAATGTACTTGTGTATGTTACAGGTCAAATTTAATTTCAGTTTATTTTTTATTTAACCTACAAAATTACTGTAGTTTGATTCTCCATTCCTTTGCCTCCTGGCACTAGGGGATAAAAGCAATTAGCTAGAATCAATCTTGGTTAAAGAAAAATCAACATGAAATTTGACCGGCACGTGATGAAAGTCATAATTGTTTGTACTGTATTAAATTAATGATGATGCTTTGCTTACATCTCAGCCAAAACCTTTGATGCAACAAACTCCAGTAACTATTGCTGAACCGCCTGTACCCAAAGAGCCTCCCCCAGAGTTTGAGTTCCTGGCTGATCCACCCACCATATCTGCACTAGACCTGTATGTATTCTAAAATTGAAAGTTAAGATTTATCATTATCAGCTTCAATACATAGCCACTTGGAAAGACACCATTATTTAGGATCTTGGAGTCGAAATTTTCTATCCTAATTAAAAGGTGCATCATTTCCCAAATGATGATGGACAACATCCGTAGTAAACATTACATAACATCCCCTGTTAGTTAGTTTAGTGGAAACTTCCCAATGGTCATATTTTCATTTTAGTTCATACATGTATGTAGCAAAATGGTAAACAGCTCAGCGTGAACTATTGGGTTATGTGTGTACAAGGGAGTTTGCTAGGCAAGCTGAAAGAAGTGTAAGAAACATATCAAGCAATACATATGTAGCTAAGTGTGACTCTAGCTTCTTGGCATTAGCAATTCTCTCAAGTGCAGCCATAACTCAATAGTAGATGCTGAGTTTTTTACCATTTGTTACATAGTAAAATCAAATATATGTGATTGTACTCCTACCTTTTGTAAAAGAACACAATATTTTTGGATTTAGTAAAATAATATAACTGTTGCTTTTCTAGTTTTAGTATTAAGAAGTATGCTCTAGTTTCTATGATTTGAGTTGTTCTGTGAACTTGTGTAGGAACATTGTTAAGCTGACAGCACAGTTTGTGGCAAGAAATGGACGTCAGTTTTTAACCAATCTTATGAACAGAGAACAGGTACGTGTAGACTACAGTACATGGTAGTATCATTGGAGTAAAGCTTTTGTTTGGACAAATAATTACTCAGAATAGACCCTCCCATGTCCAGCCATCTTGACCAAATAAACTTGGTCAAAAACGTTTTTGTAATATGGCCACTCCTTGGAAACATTATTTTTTTTGACGCACTAAAGTAGAAAATTCCATGTGGTAGGCAAGGTGTAGGCAATGTGTCTTGCCTACACTGGTAGCTAATCAGGACACATGATTTGCTTTATCTTGCTCCCTCATAAAAGCAACCATAATAATAAGAATAAACAATTGAAAATATAATTTATCATGCTGTTTAATAGTAGCATTTGTAGCAGCAAGTGGCAAGTTTTGTAACCTGAAGTGGACTTACATATCCTTTGTTTTGTTTTTTTGGTATTATTTTAACTGACTGTTGGATTTTTTTTTTATAGCGGAACTATCAGTTTGACTTCTTACGTCCCCAGCACAGTCTGTTCAACTACTTCACCAAACTTGTAGAACAGTACACAAAGGTGAGACCTCAAGTATACTTCTGACAGTGAACTGTTACAATGCAGTACGTATGTAGCTCTAGCAAGTATGGTAACAGCTACATTGTGTGTGTGCTTTTGACTTGATGTTTATTTTAGTAAGCCAAGAAAGCATTCTACACCACACAAACCCGAAGTGTGCCAAACTTGAATTATGACATTGTGTAGCATCTCCTCAGATACAATGTAACTTAAGATGCCTTGCTAGTATGGGCAACCCTTTGTAAGTTTTTAATGTAAAATTCAGCACAGCCTGTTATTAAGGGTCAGCAGCCATTGATTGATTTGTCTGCCTTTAGGACTTATGAGCCATGGCTGCTTAGTTACATGCGGAAGTATTTTAACACTAATCAAGGCAGAAAATGTCAAATCCCAAACTGCTTTTCCCACCCCTCTACTTACATACATATGTACTTCAATGTAATAGAAGCTGTGCTACACTTTTTGGCAGGAGTTCCAGTTTCTTTATTATTTTGTTCTACTTTAATTTGTTCTTTTTTTATGAAATTACCTGTTTTGTTTTACTAGGTTCTGATTCCACCAAGTGATGTAAAAGAAAAGTTACTAAAAGATGCAAACAAACCTAAAGAGGTGCATACAAGTGCATAATTACATGTGTATTGTGTATTAGAAGCAATTGCATCCATAAGCATTTTTTTTAAAGTTTTCACATTACTATGCAGAATTCTCCGGCTGACATTCAGAAGCGTATGACTATTTTTATTCAGAAGTGGAGCCTCTTTCAAAGTATTCTCCTGTTATGTTACACCTTTCTCCTGCTTCTAGAATTCTTAATAAAAACCCTGACTGAGTAGGACTGTTTGTACAAATTGTAGAAAAGGAATGGTGGCATTCTAAACAGCTCTGTTCATGTAAATGGTTATTGTAGATCTTGGATCGTGTCATGTACCGAGTGGAGTGGATACGTCATCAGGAGAGAGAAAGGAAAAAGCTGGAGGATGAAAAGGAAAAGGAGAGAGGTCAGTTTACTTGCTTGAAATATTATAAATAAGCCGATTTAGCAACAGAATGGGAATGTACATGTAAGTTGACAACACTGTGTGCAAATCAAACAACTGGCCTGACCAATGGCAGAGTGGCAAATTCAGCACAGGAAGTTGCATTTAGTCTTTTTCAAACGCTTTCCTGTCATCAACTGACGTTCCCAGTCTGTTGCTAAATCAGCCAAATATCGATCATGACGAATCACATTCATTTTTTACACTATAACTACATGTATAGTTTATTTAGCATCCTCACCTCCACTAGTAGCACAGCCATTGATTTACTGTGAGTTTTAATTCTGGTGCCCATGAGATGCGGGGATGTCACTAACATTTCAAGTTACCAGGTAAATACTACATGTAGGCGGGGAATTAGACAGGTAAGGATTTCTTTTGGTTATATTTTTAGTCTATTTTCTTATGAAAGTAGCTGGAGGCCACATTTATAGGAGCCGGAGAAAAACCCCTGCTGATAGCCCTGAGTTGGGCACCAGATTTACTGTGCTTATCACAAATGTGCGAACTCTAAAGTTCAAAAGCCGCCTTCACAATTGCGTTTTTTGCTGCCGTCAATCATAATTATGATCACAAGCAACGAACCTTGAAACACAGAAACTCACAAAACGGATCGAAATCCACCAATCAGAAATCACAATCCATGACCTTTTGAACCCGTTAAAGTAACGTTTTGTTTCCTAAGAGGTCCGTTACGATGATTGACAGCAGCGAAAAATGCAATCGTCAGTTGGGTTTTGAACTTCAGAATTTGCATGTTTGTGAAAAGTGCAGTAAAGAGATGTCCATTTTTTGCTTGGGGACATGAAAATTTTTAACAATGCTTGGAAAGTTGAATGTATGCTCTAGAATCTTGCATCTGCTGCAGTTTATGTATACTAAGCAAAATGCATGCAACATTTGCATGGTATGATTTTGTTAATTCAAGTCTTACAACTGATATTTGTTTTTTCTTTTTTGTCCACAGTTGCCTTTGCCTCAGTGGACTGGCACGACTTTGTTGTTGTAGAAACAGTGGACTTCAAAGACAGTGAAACAGGTAAAACCATCATAAATCATGATATACCATGTGATTATGTGGATTGGTGAGTGCCATATTAGAAGCACTTAGAAGTGTGTTGATAAACACTTTATAGCAAGGTGTCTACAGTCTTTTAGCGACTGCATTGAGCAATACATACATGTAATACAACCGTCTATAACATACCGTTGAACAGGTTAAATTTTACCTTGGATTTAATTTCAGCTTACTTTGTTACAAAAGAGAAAAATAAGGGTGCACTCTAGGTAGGGAAGCGTAAGGCACCTGGGAATACTTTGACTTGAGGAGGACTGAAATAATAATATTATTATTGATTTTTAGCAATATTATATTTTGACTTGATTTGTTTCTGTAGCACCATTATGACATGTTTATCTATTTTTTGAGATGAAGAGATTTTATTATCTTCTTGTTACTCAAAAATACGTACATTGTGAACTGTATTTGCATCCTACTCATTTGATTCCGTAGTTAAGAAATTAAAAGTACATGTGATTGTTTTCTTTAGCTAACTTACCACCACCAGTGAGTAAAGAACAGCTTGGAGCAAGAATATTGGCACAAGAGAGATATGAACAGATTCAGGTAATAGCAGATTGCAGAGTGACCTATCCCTATCAAAAGCCCTTGCTGAGAGATGTTATTTGTTTATTTATTTATTTATTTTTTTATTTATCTTGTGTCTTTGTTCCATACAATCTGCAACTTTGCAAAGTATACTTTAGACTTGCCACAAATCGACCTTGTGAGTTTCACAGCAGAAAAGCTGTTAAGTGGGCTGAGCAATCTTTTAGGCTACTTTACACACTCGTCCTTGCCGCATACTCAGCGAATGTTTATTTAGCACATACCTGCACTTACTGTTAGTATTTAGTACATATCACTTCCTGAAATTTAGTTTCATGTAGTACACTGTAGTTCTAGTTCTGTTATACTGGTAATCAGATCATTTATAGATTCTCTCTCATTCTTTTTCTTCCTTTTTTGTATTTTTTAGGTTGACGTCCAGGCCCCACTTGTTCAAAAGGAGGATAACGCTATCCACCCCACAAATCACTGTCCGCTGGATAACGTAATTGGTTTCCTAAACACTTATCCGCTGGATAGCGCTATCCAACTTTCGACCAACAGGAGCCAGACGAAAAAATGAGGACAACATATTTTTTTTATAATTTATGTGATAAATACATGGAAGTCACAAAAATTAGTATTTCAATGAGTGAATCGATTATTTTATTTAACAGGAGGAAGGAGGCGCCCCTGAGGATATGGAAGTTAACATGGATGTAGAGATGGAAGTTGATGAACCGGAGCCCCCAGTCCTCTCCATTCCACCACCACCACCTCCCCCCAAGGATTCAATTGCAGTAAGTCACCTTAGCCGTTTAGGAAATCTTGCAGCTTTAGAATGATAGTGTTACGAACAGCACACGAGTTGCAGAATACCTTAGTGTTTTAATGTGTTTGAGGAAAACTGCTACACAAACCTTTTACTCAACTCTGTAGGAGGAAAACAAGGCTCTGTAACTTGGTGATTAGGTGGAGAAACTGATTCGTTAACGTGCATTCCTCTGAGTCCAGATTATTTTTTAAAACAACCTTTACTCCCTTGAATGGCAAGAAACATGGATGGACACTTTTTGGAAAAGTTCGAAAACTGTTCATGGAAAACTGCGTAAAAATAATCATAAAGAAAGGAAGAAAACGAGTACCGTCCACTCCCGATAACTCAACCTTCAAGGAAAATTAAAAATAAGCGAATTTAAACAAATGAGATGGAGTAGGGATGAAATTATCATGCAATAATTGACGTGGGTTTGATATATCGAAGGCAGAAACGCAGGAAAGATTACAGCTGTGACATGTATTTGTCTGCGCATGCCCTGTCGTATCTTTGGTGCTTGAATGTTATTTTTTCATGTCCATTTTGCAGAAGGATACAGACCTAAGCGAGGTACCTCTTCCGCCTGCCCCGTCTGAGCCCGGCCCCAAACCACCCTTACCTCCCACAGCCCCTGGAGCAAACATCCAGATCCGACGAGGCTACGACTGGGGGGGGGGGATGGGGGCGATCCGTATGAATCCGAAACCATTAGGCTGCATTCATGGCAAGCAATGACCTACTCTGTTGATAATGTTCCTAGTCTGAAAGCAGTCAAACTGGTGGTTGTAGGATTTGGTTGAGCAGTTTTGGCTTAGATTGTTTTTGAGAGACCAGCTTCAATGAAAAATGGGGTGAACTGGGGAAATGGCTTTGCAATCGGTGACACCGACACTAAAAATTGCCCCTTAAAATGCCTTATTATCCAGATTAATGAGGAAAACTTCTCTTTTGCTACCTTCAAGACAGACGATTCTATCAATGGAAGCTCATGTTATCAATAATTTCTTTTTTAAGGTGAGATCTTACTTTTCAATTAACAAGGGCCATTAAATTACCAATCAGTGCGAGAGAGCTAGACTGACATGTTTTAGTAGACCAGTTTTCAAAAAACCAGGTATATATATAGCCCCCGTTGAAGGGTTGTGTTGCAAACCGAAATATCGGGCAAATATAATTCACCACTTTATTTTTGTTTTCTTTCTTTATTTTTTCCATCACTCTTCCTGCCGTAAGGATCACTTTACTGATCCAGGTCTACTAATATAAAGATCCGGCTGACCCTCTCTGGTTTGTTGTCGTGGTTTTGCCTTTACAAATGCTTAAACTACACAGGTGGAGTTCCTTATGTCCTAGTTCAATGAAGGATGTTTTTATCATTAATGCACTATTAAACTAAAATGTCCTTTACTTTACCAAGAGAGAATTTACGCGGTAACCAGATCTATCTACATTATCATTATCACCTTTACTTCTATCTTGCTTTTATACGTTTTTATTCTCATAATCTTCATATCATTATCATCATCATCAAGCTATCACCAGCATCAACATCATAAAATTTACCCACCGTTCTCACTTGTAGAATAATAAAAAACCTTCTTTTATTTTGCCACGGTCAACTCATTAAGACTATTTCGGAAAGTTCAAGTCGCCTGTTTAGAACAGAAGGTAACGTACGTAACCCCTTTGCGACTTGTTGTCGCCGCTTCGCAGCTCGCTCTCTCTTTCGCTCTCCCTTCCACCCACCCCCCTACAGAAAGCTATCCTATGTAGTTTTTGTTGTCGGCACCATTGAAGATTGCATCCGAGGGGTCCAAAATGTTGTTAGCCTATTCTATCCGTTCAGATCGTGGGAACACGCCTTACTCCACTTCCCGAGGCTAAATTGTTGTCGGTGGCTTATAAAAAAAGACAGAGGCCGCTCTTTATTGCTCATTGGGGGTGGGGGGAGGGGGGGTGGAAAAAATTAAGTGTCCAATTTTATTTTCAGCTCCCCGTCTCCTCCCCCACCCCCCACTTTTTATTTCGCTCTGCCGCCGCTGGGTTGGCTGACTTGCATTCCCTTTTCTTTTTGCATTGTGCTTAACTCTGCCATTCAATAACTTTTAGCACCAGTTGTATAGCTTTTATCTTCCTTTTTGTTGGCTTTTTCTTTGTTCGTCTTCTTTTCACCTGGGCTTGTTCTTTTCTAGTCTAGGTCTCAAGTTTAACCTATCCAGAGATGATTCGAATCTAAGCAGGATGGGCTCCTGATCTAAGCTGCCATGCACATGACCCCAGTATGCAATTTCTCAGTTTTGCATAATTTCTTACAACTTTCTTTAATTTACACTTTACACTAGAAATAGCCGACGTTCGATATATTTAAATTTTCTCATGACTCCGACACTTTAGGGTCAAAATTGCAAATTTTTCGAGACTCCCATTGTCTCGCAATTCCCAGAAGATGCTTTAGCATAAAGCAGACTGAGAAAACTTAACCAAATATAAAAAAAATGACCAGAAAGCCTCGGAGTCATGTTAGAATTTTAAAATATATCGAACATGAGCTATTGCCTCTATTCGAAATTCGTCAGTAGTCATCGGAAAAAAAGGATCGATCTGCCGATCTTTCGAATCGTTGTAGTTCGGTGAACTTGTACCCAGGTATTCTCGTCCACTACCGGCGCCTCGATATCATGCTAAATATGGCCGCCGCTTGAAGTCGGAGGAATCGAAGTTGGACGTTTTTTGTTTTTCTTGATCAACATGCCTGCTATCGGGGTTATTTATCCTCCTCCGGAGGTGAGAAGTATCTTTGATAGTTATTCTATATGATATTGATTGTAATTGTCAGTCTCTTCGTCTTTGTCCATACAGCACATTGGTCTTTGCATTATTCAATTCACTGCTGGTGATTGCAAATGAACCTGCATATTTCTTCACTACAAACGTAGCGGTTGATTCCTGTGTAGCAGCTGTGTGTCGATCTAGAATTCTACATTGCACTTATGCGAAGTTAGGCGATGCCAAAGTTTCAATAGTAGGATGGGATAAGAGACAAATTCGCTAGAAAACAGGCTAAAGCGAATCCTAGTTCTCGATGTCTCGTATGCATATAAGCGTTATTGTGCGCTTCTTACGAGTAACGTACGCATGAGGCCCTGGTCGAGATTGAACGTGTTCTGAAATTGATTCCGCTTCTCATAAATGAGCAGAGTCGAAACAAACTGTCTCTCCGTAGACTCCGTGAGTAATTCCACAGAATGTTGAATTTACCTCCTCAGGCAAGTTGAGAGCGATTCTTTTTCCATGGTAGGTGGAAAAGTCTCGATTTATAAACTTTTTAAGTCCTTAACAATATAATCAGATATTGTTGACAAGACTGCAAGCTTTGTTGCAAGAAATGGTAAGTATCTTTTGCAGGGTATATCCATAATGATACTTGTAACTAATATTGAGTAACTATTTTTTTTTTACTGGTGTTAATTAAAGGGGTGGATGGTACATGTACTTATATTGTATAAGGCTCTGAGTGACTCCTGTTGTAATGTCATATTCTCCATTATTTACTAGCAGTTACAGAGATTAGGCTGGGTATATTTTTAAGTATTATGCAGATCAAACGAGGGTGTTATCCACCTTGGCTTTTGGCTGCATGATAACAGCTTTGCAAATCAGCTTAACCATGAACTGATTCATCATTATTTTCCCCATTCACACCAAAGCTTAAACATGCTTAAAAGCTGTTTAGTTATATATTAGACACGGTTTAAAATTGTTTCCTTCATAAAAGCTGATTACTGACTTAAGTTAATTGTGAATGTAGTGCAAATTACAAAACATGTTGAATTTCATTTAAATCCTGTGTAAAAACCTGTTTTCCAGTTTTCCATGTACCGGTATGTTCAGTGATTTTGTTACAAATAGTTATGGTGAGTCCCAATGAGTCCCAGTTAAAAAAAAAAAAAAAAAAAAAAAAANTCCTTCTCTTTTAAAGCAGAACAAAGGCTAAAAGCAATATGCATCGTTAAACAACAGCCATAATAACTGCCACAGAAATTACACGAACGGGCCAGATATTTTTACAATTAATACATATGTTCAGATCAATTGATCGATCGATCAATCAATCTTTGCGTCATGCAGGACACGTGCCATGAGTTATTTTGTGTCTTTGGGGATTTTTATATGTCAGGGACGCAGGATGCAGAGGATCCAAAATCACTGTATATTTTACATTTCTTTTTGAAAATCTGGTGTAATGAAACATGATGTCAAAACAGCTAGGGTGCCATGTTGCTGGCTTGAAATGAGTTTGTGTCTGACTGGATGTACCATCGTATAGGTGGTATATTATTACTCTAATCTTCAAACAAGAAAGAATAATAAGCGTACACAGCTGTACAAAAGTTACTGAAGTATCCAACACCTGTCTTTTAAAAAGATAACTTGTTTTATGTTTTTAATTTCTATTATTAGTGCTGTAGACTTTTGGTAAAGAATAATTAAAAGTGTTATTTACTTTGTACAGACTGCATCTTGAAGAATAAGTGATGATTATGTTTTTTTTTAGTAATTGAAACTGTTATCAGACAATGTTATTCGAACACAATCTTGTGCTTGTGCCTTTAGGTCCAGAATTTGAATCAAGAATCAGGCAAAATGAAATTAATAATCCAAAGTTTAACTTCCTAAATCCTGGAGATCCCTACCATGCATACTTCCAGCAAAAAGTTGCCGATATAAAAGAACAGGATGGGAAAGGTGAGACCAACAGAAATTTCACAGTATAGTGTTGCACTATCCCTGCTTTGTCTTGTGACATTTACCATAATAACTATTAATTTTTTTAATACTGTAAATGATACACAGCATAGTGTACATGTATTTATCAGAACTAGCCTGGACAGTTATGTGTACTTTTAGCTAGCAAAATAATATGTATCTATATTATTAAAATATGTAAGGCTGCTATCATGTTAACTTATAAAGGTGTTTTGGACTACATCTTACCGCTTTACATGTACAAGTATTGTTCTGATGGTACTGTTGCGATTATATTAAGAAATTTGAAGTAAGTTGTGAACTTCCTTTAGTTGATACAGTGTACATGGCATGTGGTTTTAAACAGATGTTACATGTTAATGTGGTCAGGTTTGAAACTTCCTGTTCTTACTGTTTTATCAATCCAGCTGTTGGACTTGACCAGAAAATCAAATACCCAATAAATTTGTAAGTTTTCTTTTTTTCCAAGATCCATACAGGAAAGGAACAGGCTGCCAAGACAAGTAGCATTGGCAAAACCCCTTAAATCTTCCATGGAAGCTGTACATGTATTAAAAAGATTCATTGTTATATAGCTGGAAGTTTTTTCCCAACAGCGCATGCTCTCATTGGTTACTTTGAGGTCACACGACATCTTACAATGAGACTGTTTCCTATTAAAATCTCTGAGCAGGCAACATTGCAAAATCTGTGACGTCAGAGGGTAACAGTGCACTGTAGCTCACAAATGTTGACAGTCAATGGCCATTGCAGCAAGGTTTCCAGCTTCAAAATTTCCAGCTATATAACATTAATCACTTTTAATTAATCACATTAATCACTGGTCTCTCGGGAAACAGTTTATTTTTTAATTTTATTTTAGTTTATTTTTTTCCCTGGAATCCCAAATACCAAAGATTGGTATTCAAGTTGGCGGGTTAATACAACAAGTTGGTGGGGAAATCAACGGCTAGGGATTTCTTTTGGTTCTATGTTTTTGTTTATTTTTCTAGGGAAGTAGCTGGGGGCCTCATTCATAGTAGCAAGGGGAAATCCCCAGCCCCTGGCTCTTAGTGACAGCCATTATGGTAAATAAATAAATAAAATTAATAAATAAAGAAGTATTCTTTTGTGGTCCAGATAATTATACAATGTATATTTATGATTTGTTTTCAGCTCAAGAGCTTATTCCAACAGCTCCAGCTCCTCAAAAGGTTAGGATTTACAATGTACTTGTACATGTTGTAGGTCAAATTTGATTTCAGTTTAGTTTTGATTTAACTTACAAAATTATTGTGGTTTGATTCTCAATTCCTTTGCCTCCTGGCACTAGGAGATAAAGGCAATTGGCTAGATCAACCTAGGTTAAAGCAAAATCAACGTGAAATTTGACCTACAAGCGATGAAAGTTATAATTGTCTGTATTAAATTAATCATGATTTGTTGCTTTCATCTCAGCCAAAACCTTTGATGCAACAAACTCCAGTAACTATTGCTGAACCGCCTGTACCCAAAGAGCCTCCCCCAGAGTTTGAGTTCCTGGCTGATCCACCTACCATATCTGCACTAGACCTGTATGTATTCTAAAATAAAGTTAAGATTTATCATTATCAGCTTCAATACATAGCCACCTGGCAAGATACCATTATTTAGGATCTTGGAGTTGAAATTTTTTATCCTAATTAAAAGGACATCCTTTCCCTAATGACTATAGACAACATCCGTAATAAACATTACATAACATTCCTTGTTAGTTAATCTAGTGGAAACTTCCCATGGTCATTTCATTTTAGTGCATACATGTGTGTAGCGAAATGGTAAACAGGTCAGCGTGAACTATTGAGTTATGTGTGTACAAGAGAGTTTGCTAGGCAAGATGAAAGAAGTGTAGGAAACATATGAAGAGATAGCTAAGTGTGACTCTAGCTTTTTGAATGCTTAGCAATCCTCTCAAGTGTAGCTGTACAGTGACTCAATAGTAGCTGCTGAGCTGTGTACCATTTGTTAGATAGTAAACTCAAAATATACATGATTGTACCCCTACCTTTTGCAAAAGAAAACAATATTTTAGGATTTTGTAAAATAATGCAACTGTTGCTTTCTAGTTTTAGTAAGAAGTACACTCTAGTTTCTATGATTTGAGTTGTTCTGTGAACTTGTGTAGGAACATTGTTAAGCTGACAGCACAGTTTGTGGCAAGAAATGGGCGTCAGTTTTTAACCAATCTTATGAACAGAGAACAGGTACGTGTAGACTTCAGTACATTGTAGTATCATTGGAGTAAAGCTTTTGTTTGTACAAATAATTACACAGAATAGACCCTCCCATGTCTAGCCATCTTGACCAAATAAACTTCGTCAAAAACGTATTTGTAATATGGCCACCCCTTGGAAATATAATTTTTTTGACGGACTTAAGTAGAAAATTCCATGCCCTAGGCAAGGTGGCCTAAATGTGTCTTGCCTACACTAGTAGCTAATCAGGACACATGATTTGCTTTATCTTGCTCCCTCATAAAAGCAACCATAATAATAAGAATAAACAACTGAAAATATGATTTATCATGCTGTTTAATAGTAGCATTTGTAGCAGCAAGTGGCAAGTTTTGTAACCTGAAGTGGACTTACTTTGCATATCCTTTGTTTTGTTTTTTTTTCGTAATATTTTAACTGACTGTTGGATTTTGTTTTTATAGCGGAACTATCAGTTTGACTTCTTACGTCCCCAGCACAGTCTGTTCAACTACTTCACCAAACTTGTAGAACAGTACACAAAGGTGAGACCTCAAGTATACAAAACAGTGAACTGTTACAATGCAATACATATGTAGCTCTAGTAAGTATGGTAACAGCTACATTGTGTGTGCACTTTTGACTTGATGTTTATTTTAGTAAGCCAAGAATGTATTCTACACCACACAAACCGGAAGTGTGCCAAACTTGAATTATGACATTGTGTAGCATCTCCTCAGATACAATGTAACTTAAGATGTCTTGCTAGTACGGGCAACCCTTTGTATGTACATGTAAGTTATTAATGTAAAATTCAGCCCAGCCTGTTATTAAGGTTCAGAAGCCATTGATTGATTTATCTGCCTTTATGACTTATGATCCCTGGCTGCTTAGTTATATGTGGAAATATTTTAACATTAATCAAAGCAGAACATTCCAAATCCCAAACTACTTTTCCCACTCTTCCTTTTGCATGTACACGTATGTACTTCAATGTAATAGAAAGTGTGCTACACTTTCTGGCAGAGTTCCAGTGTCTTTATTTTTTTTTTCCATTTGTTCTTTTTGTTTTCTTTTATGACATCACCTGTTTTGTTTTACTAGGTTCTGATTCCACCAAGTGATGTAAAAGAAAAGTTGCTAAAAGATGCAAACAAACCTAAAGAGGTGCATACAACTGCATAATTACATGTATATTGTGTATTAGAAGCAATTGCATCCATGAGCATTTTTTTTAAAGTTTTTACAATAATTATTGTTTATAAAATGTTCATTTTTATTGTTTGTCTCGTGATAGTCAAAAATATTTCTTGATCGCGATTTAATGCGTACTGCAAGTCTTCATCAAGCAACGGTGTCTATTTACTTAGAAGGGTGTTCATTAGGCATTCGAGATCTGAGAATTCACCATTTACTATGCAGAATTCTCTGGCTAACATTCAGTAGCGTATGACTATTTTTATTTAGACGTGGAGCCTCTTTCAAAGTATTCTCCTGTTATGTTACACCTTTCGCCTGCTACAAGAATTTTTAATAAAAACCCTGACTGAGTAGGACTGTTTGTACAAATTGTTTGTTAAAGGAAATGAGTGGTGGCATTTCCCATTGTTATTGTAGATCTTGGATCGTGTCATGTACCGAGTGGAGTGGATACGTCATCAGGAAAGAGAAAGGAAAAAGCTGGAGGATGAAAAAGAAAAGGAAAGAGGTCAGTTTACTTACTTTGATAAGACAATTTAGCAACAGAATGGGAATGTAAGTTGACGACAGCACACGCAAGTGAAATAAAACTGGCTTGACCAATGGCAGAGTGACAAATTGAGCACTGGAAGTCACATTTAGTCTTTTCCAAACACTTAACTGTCTTAAACTGACATTCCCTGTAGCTAAATCAGCGTAATATTGATCATGATTCATGAATCAAATTCATTTGTTCACACTGTAACTATAGTTTATTTAGCATCCTCACCTCCACTTGTAGCACAGCCATGATTTACAGCATCTTTCATTTACATGTACAAACTGTGAGTTTTAATTCTGGTGCCCATCTCATGGGCACTGGAATTAAAGAGATATCCAGTTTTTCCTCGGTGACATGAAAATTATGGACAGGCTTGGAAAGTTGAATGCATGCACTAGAGTCTTGCATCTGCTGCAGTTTATGTAACAAAATGCATGCAACATTTGCATGGTATGATTTTGTTAATTCAAGTCTTACATGTACAACTGATATTTGTTTTTTTCTTTTTTGTTGCAGTTGCATTTGCCTCAGTGGACTGGCATGACTTTGTTGTTGTGGAAACAGTGGACTTCAAAGACAGTGAAACAGGTAAAACCATCATAAATCATGATATACCATGTGATATGTGGAATGGTGAGATCCACATTACAAGCACTTAGAAGTGTGCTGATAAAGGCAAGGTGTTTACAGTCTTTTATTGACTGCACTGAACAACACATAATACAACCATCTGTGACCGTTGATTAGGCTAAATTTCACCTTGGACGTGATTTCAGCTGACTTTGTTACAAAGGAGAAAAATAAGGGTGCACTCTGCAGTGTAGGTAGGGAAGCATAAGGCTCTTTGGAATACTTTGACATGAGGAGGACTGAAATAGTATTGAATTTTTAGCAATAATTTTATTTTGACTTGATTTGTTTCTGTAGCACCATGATTACTGTTTATCTATTTTTTGAGATAAAGAGATTTCATTATATTCTTGATACTCAAAAAAATGTACATTGTGAACTGTATTTGCATCCTACTCATCTGATTCCGTAGTTAAGAAATTAAAAGTCCATGTGATTGTTTTCTTTAGCTAACTTACCACCACCAGTGAGCAAAGAACAGCTTGGAGCAAGAATATTAGCACAAGAGAGATATGAGCAGATTCAGGTAATAGCAGATTGCAGAGTCACCTATCCCTATCAAAAGCCCTTGCTGAGAGATGTTATTTATTTATATATTTTATTTGTCTATACTTGGAATGATTTTATGTACCATGCAATCTGCAACTTTCCAAAGTATACATGTACTTTAAACTTGCCACAAGTCGACCTTATGAGATTCACAGCAGAATAGCTGTAAAGTATGCTGAGAAAGATTTTAGGCTGTTTCACATACTCGGCCTTGCCACATACTCTTCGAGCGTAGATAAGAAGAAGATAATTCAATTTTTGTTTATTTCACACATACCTGCACTCGGTGTTTAGTACATATAATTTCCTGAAATTAATTTTAGTTTCATGTACGTAGTTACACTTCAGTTCCAGTTCTGTTATACCGTTAATCAGATCATTTATAGATTCTCTCTCATTCTTTTTCTTCTTTTTTTGGTATTTTTTAGATTAACGTCCAGGCCCCAGTTGTTCAATATCCACCGGATAAATCACTGTCCACTTGATAACGTAGTAATATTGGTCTCCTCAGCACTTATCCGCTGGATAGGGATTTATCGGGTGGATAGCGCTATCCAACTTTCGAACAACAGGTGCCAGACGTAATAATCAGGCCCCAGTTGTTCAAAAAATGGATAGCGCTATCCAGCGGATAAATCTCTATCCAGTGGATAGTGCAATCGGTTTCCCTAATACTTATCCACTGGATAGAGATTTATCCGGTGGATAGCGCTATCCAGCTTTCGAACAACTGGGGCCAGGAGAATATATATATTTTTTATAATTTATGTGATAAATACATGTAAGTCACAAAAATTAGTATTTCAATGAGTGAATCGATTATTTTATATAATAGGAGGAAGGAGGCGCCCCTGAGGATATGGAAGTTAACATGGATGTAGAGATGGAAGTTGATGAACCGGAACCCCCAGTCCTCTCCATTCCACCACCACCACCTCCCCCCAAGGATTCAATTGCAGTAAGTCACCTTAGCCGTTTAGGGACTCTAGCTTTAGAATGACAGTGTTACGAACAGCACACGAGTTGCATTATCTTAGTTAGTGTTTGAGGAAAACTGCTACACAAACCTTTTACTTAACTCTGTAGGAGGAAAACAGGCCTCTGTAACTTGGTGATTAGGTGGAGAAACTGATTCGTTAACGTGCATTCCTCTGGGTCCAGATTATTTTTTAAAACAACCCTTTCACTCCCTTGAATGGCAAGAAACATGGATGGACACTTTTTGGAAAAGTTCGAAAACTCTTCATGGAAAACTGCGTAAAAATAATCATAAAGAAAGGAAGAAACGAGTACAGTCCACTCCCTATAACTCAAACCTTCAAGGGAAATTAAAAATAAGCGAATTTAGACAAATGAGATGGAGTACGAATGAAATTATCATGCAATAATTGACGTGGGTTTGATATATCGAAGGCAGAAACGCAGGAAAGATTACAGCTGTGACATGTATTTGTCGGCGCATGCCCTGTCGTATCTTTGGTGGTTCAATGTTATTTTTTTTTTCGTGTCCATTTTGCAGAAGGATACAGACCTAAGCGAGGTACCTCTTCCGCCTGCCCCGTCTGAGCCCGGCCCCAAACCACCCTTACCTCCCACAGCCCCTGGAGCAAACATCCAGATCCGACGAGGCTACGACNCTTTCGACCAACAGGAGCCAGACGAAAAAATGAGGACAACATATTTTTTTTATAATTTATGTGATAAATACATGGAAGTCACAAAAATTAGTATTTCAATGAGTGAATCGATTATTTTATTTAACAGGAGGAAGGAGGCGCCCCTGAGGATATGGAAGTTAACATGGATGTAGAGATGGAAGTTGATGAACCGGAGCCCCCAGTCCTCTCCATTCCACCACCACCACCTCCCCCCAAGGATTCAATTGCAGTAAGTCACCTTAGCCGTTTAGGAAATCTTGCAGCTTTAGAATGATAGTGTTACGAACAGCACACGAGTTGCAGAATACCTTAGTGTTTTAATGTGTTTGAGGAAAACTGCTACACAAACCTTTTACTCAACTCTGTAGGAGGAAAACAAGGCTCTGTAACTTGGTGATTAGGTGGAGAAACTGATTCGTTAACGTGCATTCCTCTGAGTCCAGATTATTTTTTAAAACAACCTTTACTCCCTTGAATGGCAAGAAACATGGATGGACACTTTTTGGAAAAGTTCGAAAACTGTTCATGGAAAACTGCGTAAAAATAATCATAAAGAAAGGAAGAAAACGAGTACCGTCCACTCCCGATAACTCAACCTTCAAGGAAAATTAAAAATAAGCGAATTTAAACAAATGAGATGGAGTAGGGATGAAATTATCATGCAATAATTGACGTGGGTTTGATATATCGAAGGCAGAAACGCAGGAAAGATTACAGCTGTGACATGTATTTGTCTGCGCATGCCCTGTCGTATCTTTGGTGCTTGAATGTTATTTTTTCATGTCCATTTTGCAGAAGGATACAGACCTAAGCGAGGTACCTCTTCCGCCTGCCCCGTCTGAGCCCGGCCCCAAACCACCCTTACCTCCCACAGCCCCTGGAGCAAACATCCAGATCCGACGAGGCTACGACCCCAAGGCACCGAAAGCGGCTCCAGCTGTTGTGCCCTCTGACAAATTCCTCATCTCTCCCATCACCGGCGAGCGTGTGCCGGCTGAGAGTATGGCTGAACATATGAAGATCAGTCTGCTGGATCCACGATGGAGAGAACAGCGCGATCGAGTGTTACAGGAGAAGAAAGAACAGGAGCAGGTCTTCGCTGAGGGTAAGATTTCCAAACATTAAAATAACTGCTTTAAACATTAAAAAGAAGATATAAATAACACAGCAAATAAAAAGGGAGGCGCGGATGGACAGAAACGGATTGCGATGGGTTTTTTTGGTATAATGCTTAGGATCAACGTTTTTTTTTACTCGAAGCTCAGATATATATAGTCATTTACAAGTAATTTCTCAAGTTCTATAGCGAATAAGGACGCGAAATTGGAATTATTAGGCTGATTTAACAACAGAACGGGAACGTCAGTTGACGACGGTGCGCGCAAATCAAACAACTGGCTTGACCAATGGTAGAACGACAAATTGGGCACCGGAATTCGAGTTTAGTCCTTTCCGCGCGCTTTCCCGTCGTCAAATGACGTTCCCGATAAAATGATGTCGACAGCCGTGACGTCACAGCCCCTTTGAAGACTGAGGTCACCGTATAACCAGTGGACACTTTGTTGGCCGCTTATTAGAGGTTCGACTATAGTTCGCTCTTGATGAAGTCAGGTTCAATTTATTGAGAAAAGACTGGGAAAAAAGTTTCTGTTGCTGTTGCAATTGTTGTATTACAGGAATGTCTATTGGAAGCAGTCTGAAGCAGCTGGCTGAGCGTCGTACGGATATCTTCGGTGCTGGAGACGAAGAGACGGTGATTGGTAAGAAGATCGGCGAAGAAGATACCCGTAAACCAGAGAAAGTGACGTGGGATGGTCACACAGCCTCCATGGCTGCTACCTCTCGCTTGGCTCAACAAGGCGTCACTTTAGAGCAACAGATTGAGGCTATTCACAAATCCAAAGGACTGACGTGAGTGACGTGCTGATCAAATGTTCTGAACACATGAGCCCCGGTCAGGCATTCTCAACATACATGTAGTCTTTATCGTTGGAAACTGGAGGGTACCTTTTCGGGCAAAATCGTTGCAGGCAATACATGTTTAAATGAGAAAGCGAAAGCCATCGGTTACTCACTGTACACCTACCAAACCAGTCCAGAAGCATTTGAATTCCCTTTTTCCTGATTATTATTGGTCAAAAGAAAAAAATGATTTCTGGCCAACCATAGGCGTTAATTCAAATGCTTCGTTCTGGAACCGCTTTGACCAGAGGTACTGGCAAGGACCCCCTTCTTCTTTGAAACTTTTTCAGTGAATGCTCCTTCTCGGTTAGCGTTTCTTGGCTCTCGAGGATGTGCAGTGTCAACATTGGCACTTTACAGCGAAAATGCTGAGACAATGTTGGGAGAGTTCGCCTTAAGCATAGTGGAGTCACCTAATTTAGCCAACTTCAGCGGCCATTAGGAACTGTCAACCAAATCTTAAACGGTGCCGGAAGTTCATGGGGGTTTTAAAACTATTTCGCCAGTCAGTATTTTAGAGTTCATCGCTCTTTTTTTTTGGAACTTTGTCTTATGAGGACTATTAAAGTAACCAGACATACTACGTTGATTCAAAGCTGCGAGGAATAGGCCAGTTTCACACGTAGCCAAGGCTGAGGGGTATAAAACAAAAGACATCGCGTTGAGAATCAGGGATGAACAATTCATTTCTTTTCTCTTATTCCCCTCAGCCTCGGAGCTAAGTATGAATGTCAATAATTCGAAACTGGCGTATTAAATTTTCATTGCTAACCAGTAATTGGTAAAACTAACCTGGTTAGTTTACCAATCACTGGTCAACAGAATGAGCTAAACCTGCCTGAAGAAGCGCGCTTACTTGGATATGAGAAGTGCAAATATAATATCCGCTCAAAACTTCAAATCATGCTCGTTAAATCCCTTTAACCTACCCCACTTTTACGGCTAACGAAGACCATTTGGCCATAGGGACTTCTATGTAAAGGGTTCTTTGCCCATTTTCTCTTTTGTTAGACCGAAAGGTGCTCACTTGAAACTTAATTTTCGCTGTTGCTTTCCAGGTCATCAGAAGAGAGAGAACGAATCGGTCCGAAAGTTCCCGACCACGAAAAACCGGAAACAAACCGACCGCCGACTACAGCCATCCCACCCCCTCCCTCTATGAGTACAAAACCTATAACGTCAGCACCACCTCCTCCCCCCTTGTCAACGATGATGAATTTGCCGCCGCCTCCACCCATCCTTCCACCTGGTGGTCCTCCACGGTTTATGGGTAAGTTATTGTATATTCTGACGGTGCTAAGAAAGTATAAACACGGCAAATCGACAAACGGACGGCTAAGGTGTGTCCAGCACTGAGTGGCATAACAAATTGGCTATTTTCAGTTTGCCCAGACTGCGTCGCGGTGGCTGTATTAAATGCACTTCAGAACTGTTTTAAGGACGCTATCGCCTCGTTTATTGGCTGTTACAAAGTTGGGCTGCAAGCTGGGTCAAACCAATGCCACAGAGCAATCTGATATAGCTCCGACCCAGTCCCACTAGAAACCTTACATACCTCGCTCTTATTTATTTATTTACTTTTTGGCCGAGATAACGCATATTATTTTCTGTGTAATCAGAGGCCATGTTTTATTTTGAAAGCGAAGTAAGGTTGTGGGAGTGGAAAGTGCAATCAATAGGTTAGTATAAGACTGACAGGGCGATGTTAGTGGGGCTCACAACCCAGGCAAGTTTTAGGATCCGCACCTGGAGTGTGCCTCATTTAGTGCCTGTACCAGAAGAGATAAATGTCCAAAACATAGCGAAGCTCTTGGAACAATTCATGTCTCGTTAGATAGGACTTGAAACCTCTTTTTTTCATTTTTCAAGCGAACACTTCAGAAAAGTAAGTATTGTCCTAGTCTGAAATGTCAGCTGTCTCCTCGCATGGAGACCTCGCAGGGAGGAGACGGCTGACATGTCAGACTAGTGTAGCCCTCCAGCTCATCTAAACGTGTATCTTTTTTATCCTCAGGAATACCGCCCCCGCCACCCCCGGGTGGTCTCCCAAGGATGCCACCCCCTATGTTTGTGAACCCGAACCCCCCTGTTGCTCCCCCCATGCCAAACAAACGGGACGCAGAAGGAGAAGATATGGGTGGTAAGAAGTCCAGAGCTGAACCTGCTGAAGCAAATCTTATCCCTGAAGATGTCTTCCTCTCTTCCAACCCAGGCCAAGTCACCTTTGGTGTCCAGATTCCTCTCATGCCAGACAAGGCCGAGTGGAAACTGGATGGCAACACCATTAGGCTCACCTTGCCTCTTACAGACCAGGTAAGAATCGAACTTGTGTCGAGCTTTTTTATCTCGGCAATGTGTGTTGCGTGGTAAATATGGCTCCTTAGTTGTGCAAAGTCCAGTTTTATGGGACTTCGGTGTTTAGATGGTCCCTTCAAAAAAACCCAGACTGCTTCTATTACGTGAATTGCAATACTGTACAATTTGGATTTAGAAGGCGAAAGGGTTCTCTTCTTTTGTATTGCCGAGAAAAAAATGTTTGTAATTATGCAGTAGTTTGGCGCAGAGATTATTTCATGGTAAACCAGGAGATAATTTTTCATGTTTCAGTTGCTTTCATTTATGCATAAAGAACTTTATTTCCGTTTGCTGCGGACAATTTCGATATGATGTTATGTGTAGTACAATATGTCTGTTGAAGGCGCTAGAGATCAGGGGACGGACGGCTCGAGAAATTTCTTAAGTAACTTATTAACGCACTACTTAAAACGTCGTATCTTTTAAACACAAAGCAGTCAAATCTTTCATAACGGCCTTCTTGAGGACAGAGATAGGTGCCCCCGTTGTTAAAAGGTGTAAACAAGTGTTGATATATTCGACGGGGCCAAAAAGACGTGGTTGTTACCGAAAGGTAGCTTTTGTAGAGAGGTGTCCGAGCAGAGGATCGCTACTTTGAGAGGATCGCTGCTTTCGGGGTGGCCATTACTTTTGAGAATCTACGCTTTTTGTTGCCAAAACTAACTTTTAATCGGTATAATATTTACTTTTGTAATAATACACTAGTCATGTACGTTTTTTTATGTAGGATGTTCGGTCACCATTGCCGAGAATAGTTTTGATGTTATTTTCATGAATGGCCATTTTTTGTCTTCACAGGTTTCTGTCATTAAGGCAAAACTTCACGAGATAACAGGAATGCCGGCTGGCAAACAAAAACTTCAGCTCGGGGTAAGAAAATCAATGAAAATTTGATTCTCGACTTTAAACTACACAGTAAGTAGGGTTTAAGGGTCATCAAGTGTCTTGGGAAACTGCTCAGATTATCGGCCATGTTCATGTGGGTTGATTGAAGAAAAACTACGCCTTTTCCTCGCAAATTATTAACACAATTGTCCGTTTTGTTTTACAGGGTATCTTCATCAAAGACTCCAACTCATTGGCTTATTATAACGTCACCCCTGCCAGCATAGTACAACTACAACTTAAAGAACGTGGAGGAAGGAAGAAGTGATTGAAGCAAACTGCCACAACTTGTGCTTAACTTGCCCGCATTTTGTTCAACTAAAACACTGGAATGTTTGTTCTTATCAGTTTTCGTGTGAAAAAACCTAGGCATTGTTACAGTAAGAAGTCTTTTACTGCGGTTAGTTTCTTGTGCAAGGAAAATCTTTTAATGTAAACTCTTTCGATGGTGTGATGACAGCCTTCAGTTCAGGCTGCCCTCTAATTTCTCCCATTATCCTTCGATCGTCCAAGAAGGCAAGAAAACTCAATCCCCTTCGCAGCGTCGTCCTGCGAGAGAGGAAAAGGAGTAGATGAGGAGGGACCCTTTAGGGATCATGAGGTTGAGGAGAACTGAGCGCAAGTACTTAAGTGGAGGGCTAGAGGGTGTGATGGAACAATCGTTCTCTCCTCGTCATTTCTCCTGACCTTCCGCAGTACGCGCGTTTGCTTTTCTTTCGCGCGATCTCTCGAATTGAGTAGTGAGGGACTGTACTGCCTGAAACTGGAATCGTGTTTAATGTTTTAGTGCCGCTTTTACGACTTATATTATCTTTTGTAATGTCTATTGTATTAAATGTGACTCGTAAATCTCTGTTATACTGTAAATCGTGGTAGAGCTTTTTATTAAAGGCTTGGAATATAGTGAACAAGTATCTCCTTACTGGTGAAAATTGGCTTTTATTGACGATTATTACATTTTTATCATCCTCTTTGTTTGGCTAGCTTAAAATTAGCGATCTTTCGGATCACCAAACAGGTCGGTTTCTACTGTTTATGATGACATGGCTTCGAATCCTGTTTTTTTAAAAGCCTGATGTCAAAAGGGTCAAACGTGTCACAAATGTTCCTGTGTTTTTACACGCGACGTTTTCCATGCGGCCAACCTGGGTAGGGTCTTTTAACACGGTCTGTTACTAACATTGTCAAGACGGCATATTATAGGGCTATGGCAGAGAAAGAGAAAAAAAGAGTTTTCTTTATCTGCAGAGATAGCACTTTAATTCCATACATTACTTAATTGGCTAGCCTGCGAATACAGCCGTTTCTCCTAGCTCCTTGCCGCTAATGACGTTCCTCCTGGCGAAACGTCCCTGGCGGCGTGGAGCTATGAGAAACGGCTCTACTCAAAGGCTATTAATTGGCCCGTACAGCGCTCTGGGAGTGGACTCTTTGTTTGAATGACAAGTAGTTTGCCTCGCCTTTTTTTCTTTTTTCGGAAGGGTGGGGGTTGGGGGAGTGGACTATTTCCTTTGTTTTTATGGCCGGCTATTGCTTTCCAGTCTCTGGTTGTGTTGTTCTGCACCTTTATTTTCGTTGTTTAGTTTATTTCGCCGGTTCGTAAACCCAGAATCTTCCTGGGTCCAGGGGAAACGGACAAACACTAGAGTCTTAAATAAAGAACAATCAATTAGAGCCCCGCTTAACCTGCCAGCAATCTCCCCGGGGCGCTTTGGCGGCAAGAAACGGAAGGAGAGCATGCAACTACGTCTCGATGCCGGTTATTATTTTTTAAAGGCCCGGCTCTCCTTTTCTCCCCTCGCACGTCCTGGAGATTTCTTCCTTTGCCCTAAAAACACAGGGACTGATCTAGGGGAAGGGTGCAGGGGGTGCGCGCCTCCCCAGAGATGACTTGCGGCTTTCTAATACAACTGATATTCTGCAAAAAAACAAAACACGAGACGAGGTTGAACAATTCATGTTGAACGCTTAACACGTCACGTCACCAGTCATTTATGCCATTTCTTAGTGGTGCGCCCCCTCCCCCAGGGCCTGTTTACATGGAGGTGGGGGACCCCGGGTAGGTGAGGTAAAATATGGCGGGTCCGCCCACCTATCATGTAGACGTGATCAAATTAAAATGAGAGATTATATGGACAAAAGGGTTACCCCACCTAAGCGGACTACCTCACCTACCTGGGGTCCCGACCCCACCTCCATGTAAACAGGCCCTAAGAAAACTACTGGATCCGTCCCTGAAACAAACCGGCGCCTGCTACGTAGGCAAAAATACTAATTTACACGAGTAACACGCTTGTATGACTTGTACGTTCCCTTGTGCCTTGGATGAAAAATGTTGATTCTTAATTAGTAGCGCATTTGTTTCCACTCGTAGCTTTCTTTTTTTTCGGGCTGGGTGCTTTTCTGTATTAGGGAACTTTAGCATCGACGACGGCAACGGCAGTGAAAACGTCGCTTTTAAAATGAATTCCCGTTTGTAAAAACTTTGTCGCGTTTATTCTAATTTGCTGAATGTGGCAAATGTAGACCAATTTCCCTGAAGATGATTTCTTGAGGAATACACTTAGAGAGAGAAAAAGAAATTATTTATACCTTGCTTACGTCCTCCATAAAACTTGCAGTTATAGGCATTTTCACGTCGATCGTCGTGCATGGACAGTAAAGAAATGTACAAAAAAAGCGTGATGCTCGTGCAAAGTTGTTGTTTTGCGTAACAAACCTATTGCTTTTTTGACTGTGCCCTGCATATATAAGTAACATCTTTAAAGAACCAAATAGTAATTACAATCTGAGGCAAGCAGATTTCTCTATACCTAGGTATGAGACAGTCACCTACGGCAAGCACTCTATTAGATATCTAGGGCCTAGACTATGGACNGTCCTCGTTGCCGTCGCCGTCGCCGCCGCCGTCGCCGGCCGTCGTTGTTGCTAAGGCTCCCTACTGACTCGTTTTACATTGGTTGTAAACCAGACGTAGTTAGATAGACCAGCTGAGGCCTACATAGATCATAAAGATACAAAACAATTCCTAAGACCTTTTGTTACCAATCCAAAAGCAAGGGTCCTGAAAGGGTATACTAGTCCCATGCATTTCCCAGCCACAACTTTTCCTAAATCCGGCATCCAAATTCTTCGAGAAAATGAAGTAAACAGCACAAAAGCAGGGAAATGTTTTCAGGGAGAAATCGGAACATCCCCTAAAACTATGTGTTTCCTCGTTTTGGGATTTTGGGATTTTGTTTGCCTAATGTGATTCGATTCTCTCGCGGTTTTGGTCCTTCAGGCTTTTGTGATTCTATTTTGAGATTTTGAGATTCTGTTTTCATTTTTGCAATCCAGTTTTGAGGTTTTGTCAGTTTCTGTTTTAGGGTTTCATGTTTCTGTTTTTGTTTACCTGCTGTTTAGGGATTTTGCGGGTTTTTTTGTTTGTTTATTTAAATTGTATCATTGGAGGTCTTGTGGTTAATGATTTTCTCTTTTAAATTTTGAGCATTTTTTAATTCCTATTTTGGGTCTTGTCATAGTGGTGCTCGTTTGCTCGTGACGTCACGACGGCCATGTTGGTGGTCAAGAACAAAAGCATTTATCTCCTCTGAGAACTAAACGAGACAAAACTCTATTGTACTGACCGCCTACATAGCCGCCTTGTCACTTGGTTACAAACCAAGAATTTTGATTTTGTGATTGCCATCTGGTTCGGGAAATTTTTGAATTTATTTATTTATTTATTTATTTATTACCATTATTATTATTATTGTTATTATTATTGTATTTCTCTGTTGGGTTCTGTGTTCCTGTTCTTTAGTTTGTGTGCTTGTGTTTGTCTTTGTTTGTTTGTTTTTTCGGGGGGTTCTTTTGTTGTGTTTATTTCAGTTTTCTTTTCTTTCTGTGCGTTAGTTTTAGCATTTTGCGGTTTGGGAGTTTTAGGGTTTTCTTATATGTTTTTAGCACAGCTGGTTACAGAACTGCTGGGGCGTTACAATATCTGGTAGTCACCCCTTTTGTTATCATAGGTTGTGAATTATGAACGAGTGGGTGGCACCTAATGCGATCATCACATGGAACCAATAAGCTCGGTTCGTGTCCACCAGCATTAGCCTTGATTCTGATAAAGTTATATGTATTACCAAGAGCCTACAGTAAGGACCTTCTGAAAAATATGAGACTACTGCAAATATCCTGAACATCAGGCAATGTGACCTCTTGATCAGTCATGAGACGGTTTCGTCACTCGTCCCCACCTCCCACTTCCCATCTCCCCTTCCCCCAAAGACCCCGAAAGATTTTCTCCCGGGTGGCAGTTTAATGCCTTCTTCTTAAGACGTCTGAAGACTTATTTAAAGGGGACACAGTCAGAGAATGAGGAAACATCGGTTTCATTGCTAAATGCGCTCCTGTCCTTTTCTAATGGCAAAAGACATTCCCCCCAAGAGAGACCAGGAGCCGATAACCTGGAGAGACCAGTTGACTTTACATCAACTGAATGAATGTTATTGAGTATCGCCATGACGTTTGCCCGAAATTGGTGTGAGATCTTTGAACATCAGTCCCAACCAAGAGAGGATAAAGCTGTCCCAACTTTTTATTTCCCTGTATTTCACTCTGCCGCCCGTGATACCTTCTAGCAACATGAATTTACTTCAGTTCCTTTGATTAATTTTTGGCGTTTGCAAAGTAGAAAAACAGATGTACTTTACGTTATTTAAAGGATTATTTTTAGCTTTCCGGATTACCTAGATTTTTGCTGGGCTAGAACAATAAAGCAAAACCAACTATAACAGCAGCCGATTTCATTTGTTGAGAAAGTCGTACGGAGCCTTGGTGGCTAGTGGGGGTTTCCAATATTAAAATAAAATGTCGTCCGCACCTAAACGGTCCTCTGCTAAAAATGGTTCTGCAAGGTTCTGCGCGTATTCTGCTCGGTACCTGAAAAAGTCTTTAGTTCTTCCGCGCTATTATAAGTATTTTACAAATAGTGGGAACCCAGGCTTAAGCCCTTAATTCAGCAATAGGATTTCATTTAGCCACTCTTGATTGAGCATAACAAAATTGCAATACACCTAAATCTGCACAATACCACAAGGGGTTTTTTATTTTTAATAGGATCTTACTGCAAAAAAAAACATCCGGCAAATGCGACATAAGGACTGTGTTTTTCTCTTGGTATCACATTATTATGTCTGATTTTTCGCCAAAATACCACAACACTCTCTCGCTAATCCTATCTTGCCAGCCACACAGGAAAGAATGCTGCTCCTGTGTCTCCATCCCATGTCTGAGCGAGTGTAACCCCTAAGGAACGTCTGTGTGGAGGCGCGACTGCTGCGAGTTCCCATCAAGAGAGCCGCTGGCCAAGGGTAGAGAAGGCGTCGCGCCCGCGCTAACGTGACAGGGGACAAACGTCTGAGACCGTCTGAGACAAAGAATATAACAAAGACGAGGTTTATGTTTAAATGTTTCTCTCTTCTGGAAAAAAATTATAGCTCTTTTCTGGTTATGTCAGTTGGTAAGCTGAGATGCAAGGTAAGTCATGTTTCCATTTCTGTCTTCATATGAATCACAGTGGCGATAAATGCATCACAACAACAGCCGTGTATTTGTTTCTTTACGCTTTCTGTCAATGTATTTGCGTCATAACTGCCATTAACAGCAAAATAAGCTCAAAGACAAGGATGCAAATTTATTTTGAGAAGTCAGTGTTGCCTTCTCCTTCTTTTCCCGTTGAAGTTTGGGATAAGCTTTGAAAAAAAAAACGTTTGTGGTTTTACAGATCGTGAGAAATGACTTCCGCTGCTTCCGGAGTATGAAATAAAAACGCATACACTCTTCTTGTTCTCATAAGTTTTTGTCAGTTAATTCACAGTGTGCTGAATGAGAATGTTAGTTTTATTCTTGCTAAGTTGCTCATT